TGTCGCTGAAGATTTTCATGTGAGCGGCGTCAGTAATATTCTTTGCCCAATTCCAATCCAATTTATTTAAATGTATTACAAATGAAATGCCAAATTTAATGTACACTCCATAATATGGTGGAGGCTATAAGAATTCACTAAAACCATTGAATGCCTATACGTATGGTATACCAAAAACATAAAGCTACAAGTTTGTTATGATCAAGAGAAAATTATTTCAACTTATAGTACTATGCTCACATTCTTCTCATAGGAAATCTGATAATACCATGTATCCTCATCTCAATCTAACCTTACTATATGGAATTTTAGATTCAAATTCAAGTCTATACCACACGTTGCAATACAACATCCATTCGAATACAAATATATGCCAACATTGTAGTTTATTTATTTTTACATTTAATTAATTATTCCACTATTTAGTTAAATATCAATATATAAGCTATCAAACAATGAGCATATGTAAATGTACATTAGGTTAGAACAAATGATTTGTGGATTCAAAAATCAACATTTCAATACGATATCCATTACTAAAACAAAACCATCCTTTTCTATTCGTCTGACAACAACTTATCTAGGTCATCTGATTTTGTAGTTGTTCTTCCTATAATAGCCCTGTTAGCTACACATACCCATCAAATATTTAAACAAATTAGCAAATAAATCACTTTATGCTTCAATGGACAATTTAACAAAATAGCAGCAGCAGCAACAACAGCAAACGCATCAATTCATTATTGTAAAATCTCTTGTGCAAATATTGATGTGTATTAACTGAATTAACTCAATTAAGATTACAACAGTGTAAATATTACAAAATCAAATATCTGTGAAAGAGTATATCCTCTGCTACTTCTCGCCCATCTCCTCCTCCTCTTCCTAACCTTCATGCATTAAATATATTTTACTAATTAAAATTAATAGCCAGCATAAGTGGTAGTCCAACGTAGAGACATACAGTGGCTCCATCGCATAATCGGACAAAAGGAGTATTTACTAAAACCAGAAGATTTTTGGAAGCAGGTAATTTGATGATAGATCATCTTAAAATACATTTCTATTGATAGTTTTCATTATATTAAGTTTCTGTTTACTGACGAAAGCAATTTTAATTTGCACGGATCAGACGGAAAGATGTATGTGTGGCGTAAGCCAAATGCTGAATTTAATCATAAGAATACAAAAGCCACTGTTAAGCACAGGTTCTTTTATGGTTTGGGGCTGCATGTCGAGTGCGGGAGTAGGCAATTTGCATTTTATTGATGGTAAAATGGACAAATTTGTGCAGACAAATTGGGTATCGCGAACAACATTGCCTTTTATCAAGACAACGATCCCAAGCACACATCAGGTGTTGCAAATCTTTGGTTGATCCATAACTGCCCCAAACTTATGCAAACACCTGCTCAGAGCCCAGACCTTAACGTAATTGAGCATCTATGGGAAGAATTATCTGGGAGAGTGTATGAGTGTATGCCCCAAACTTATGCAAACACCTGCTCAGAGCCCAGACCTTAACGTAATTGAGCATCTATGGGAAGAATTATCTGGGAGAGTGTATGAAAAAAAAAAATTAACTCCTTAGTACAGCTTAAGGAGACTTTACTGGAATCGCCATATGCCAGAATTTGGTCAAATCAATACCGAAGCGTTTACAGGCCGTTCTGGACAACAAAGGATATGCAACTAAATATTAATTTCTCGATTTTTTGCATTTTTTAACATTGATACTTTGCTTTGTCCGATTTTTCTGACGAAATTTACTGTTATCACTAGAAAAGTTGTTGTTTTTTGTATTGTTCAGAAATATAAGACAAATTTTTTGAAATGTATAGCATTATTATATCTGAGAACCACTTGTCCTATTATTCGATGGAGCCACTGTATATGAATCAGTCAACACATAAATGTAAATGTGTTGTGTTGATGTTAACCGGGTTTAGTTGATGATGAAATTGTAACATTTGTCTATTATGCTAACTTTTTTGTTGTTGTTTTTGTCTTTATTCTTAACAAAAACACATTCAAGTGGAACTAATGCCTATCTACCGTTGACAAAATACCTTTCAATTCTATCAAATCTACAAATTATTCCGATTCAGAAAATAACGAAGAATATTTTTGAGGCTTATTAATTATGTATAGAAAGAAAATCGTTTACAAATAGATAAACAATCAATAATCGGATATTTGTTAAATACATTATTATGTAGGGGTATGTATGTGTGTTATGTGTAGTACAATTCAAATATTAGGCTTAAGAAATATTATTTAATATTATGAAATTGGAATAAGATTTCAAACATTGTTCCTTGGATTAATATACGCAAGCATAATTAATTCTTGGGAAAAGTGCATATGATTGGTAAATATTTTAGTGAAACTTATTTTGATAGTTCAACACATCAACAATATTATTTGAACATTATTCAGAATGCTGTAAATAACAGAAGGATAAATATGATGAGAATGATAAAATAATATACAGTGACATGCAAAAGTGTGCGTATGTTGGTACATTTTCTTCTACGGGAACCATCAGTAGGCTAGCTTTTATATGCCTTTTGAGCTGGGGCGTTATCATTCATTCGCAAAACATGGCCTAGCGATCGTAGTCGCTGCAGCTCAATCCGACTGACTATGTCGATGTCCGCGTATAAATTGTAAAGCTCTTGGTGCATTAGACGCCGATATTCACCGTAAACGCAGATCGGCCCGTAGATCTTTCGGAGAATTTTTCTTTCAAACCAGATCCAGATCCATATAACAGCACGGGTAGTATCAACGTCTTGTAAAGTGTGAGTTTGGTCTGGCGGGAGGTGGCCTTGTTTCTAAAATGCTTACTTAGACCATAGTAGCATCTGTTGGCCATCACAATCCTTCTCCGAATTTCGAAACTGATGTCATTCGTTTTATTTATGGCGGTACCAAGGTATATAAAATCGTCAGCTATCTCGAAGCTGTAGTTCTCAAGTTCGCGTTGATAACATCAGCTTGGTCTTCTCGCCGTTTACTGTCAGACCCACTTTGGCAGACTCCTTCTCAATTTGTTCAAAGGTGGCTGTTACCGCTCTCAAAGTTCGACCCATTATGTCGATGTCATCGGCGTGGACGAGTATCATGTGTTGTTTGATGTACAGAGTTTCTGTTCACCTTTGCGTCTCGTATGACCTTTTCCAGCAGGATGTTAAAAAGATCAGACGACAAACTGTCACCTTGTCTGAATCCTCGTTCGGTATTGAAGGGCTGCGATAGGCCCTTTCCGTCTTTACCTTGTGCCACTTAAAGTTATCCTGCATAGCCGTATTAATTTTTCAGGAATGCCGAACGTAGACATGGCTTTAAACACCTCTGAACAGATAGGGCTGTCAATTGCGGATTTATAGTCGACAAATAAGTGGTGTGTCGATGCGTTTTTCGTGGGTCTTTTCCAGGATTGGCGCAGAGTGAAAATCTGGTCAACGGTGGATTTGCCAGGTCTGAAGCCGCATTGGTAGGGTCCAATAATGTCATTGACCATTGGCTTCAGTCGTTAACACAGCATGATGGATAGCACATTATATGCGATGGGAAGGAGACTTATTCCTTAATAGTTGACACATATCGTCGCTGAGGTTCCAATTATTGGGCATGCATTCCTCTAGCCAAATTGTACTAATCAGCTGGTGCATTCTCCTGACCAGCATCTAACCACCAGTCTTGAATAGTTCGGCTGGTAACCCTGATGCTTTATTGTTCTTGAGTCGATTAATTGCTTTTAAGACCTCATCTTGGCTAGGTATCTGGGGTATCTTCTTCACTGCCACTATTTGCTATCAGAAGTTTTTCAAAAGTGCTACTTCCAGATCCTCAACACGCTGTCTCTATCTGTCACCAGATTTCTTTCTTCATATCTACAGGAGAATGTGCCTGCACCAAAACCTTCGGTTTGGTGTTTTACTCGCGAAGTCAATCATCGGATGTTTCTTAATGAAGGCTGAATTGTCCGACGGTGGGGCAAAAGATATTATTTCACGAATTTCCGAAACTTTCGCAATAGCCCAATCTCCAAATTTCAGGGTACCAAATGTAGTACCCATAAGTAAGAATTTCCAATGCTTGATCCATACCCCAATCCTACACCAACATAAACCCTATTTTCAAATTTCAGCTCAATCGTTTCGCCCATATTTAATTTTAATTGTACCAAATTTAGTTCACATTAGTAGGAATTTTCAAAACTCACTAAATACCTCCCAACAATGATCTTAAATCCCAATGTCATGATTGCAGCTCATCGGTTCACCTAAATCAAAATTTGGTACCATATAGAACAAATTGGTACGAATTTCCTACATACACCAATCCTACACCCCAACAATTATCCTAACACCAAATTCCAGGTTCCCAGCTCTATCGGTTCACCCAAATTCAAATTATTCTAATTATAGTACGATTTAGTACATTTCGTACAGATAAGTAAACAATTTCCAAATCCCAACAATTTCCAAATCGATCCACCTTCTCAACCTTCTTAAATTCACATTCCAAATTTCAAATTTTTAGCTGCATCCATCCACAAGAAATTGTACCAAATTTAGTACATTTTAGTACTTTTCCAATACCTATACTTCGAATGTCCAAAAAAATCCTTTGCTATATTTATTCTACACTCCATCAGTGGCCCTCATTTCAAAATTAAGAGTTCTAGCTCAACCGGTTCGAATTTACAAAAACCCAGCCATATCTGTCACCTTTGGACCAAGAGTGACCCTCACCCAAAATATTCTAGCTTCAGGCGTTTCGTCTGGGCTTTGATTAATCGTGAAGCCAGTCAGTCAAGTTTCTTAATAATCTAGCTTCATAAAAATAATCGCCATCAATTTAATCGATTGTTTCCATTTATATTACAAAACATTATTTTCAAAATAAAAGTACATTTTTATTTTATTTTTTGTATATAATCTTAAGAATAGGTAATTCTTAATAGGTAAAAGAAAATTGCAAACTAGTTTCTAACTAGCTTTCAATTTATTCTCATTTACGCCCATATCGTTTGCTATTTTAGCCTCCTTCCTCCTGCTCTTATCCTTTTTCATGTATGCTCTGTAATAGAATTCAAAGAATAGTGCAAACATAAAGATATTCTGAATAAATCCAACCAACGCCACTAGAAACGGATGATCGCAGGTATTGTTGACAAGAACTTGCAAAAAGTGGAATACCAAATAGGCGAATTGTGCCAACTGTAATTGTGTAATGTGTCGCTTCCACCATAGTGTCTGTGTCGTGGGTCGTATCGAGGCAATGAAATAATACGAATACATCACCGTGTGTACGAGCAGATTTATGACACCCAACATTGTTGAGTGACTTCCTAAAAGACACAAATAAATAAAGAAGAAAACAAATGATTTTAATATTTTTGTGGAATCAAAAGTGCAACACAAACATACCTGGCAAAAATGTTGTATAAATATAGACTCCAAACACCATACCGGCATGATGATAGACATGCAGGAATGTCACCTGCTGAGTCTTTTTACGCAGCACAATAAATATCTGTAAATTCATATTATTAAATTATAATTATTTAATAATTAAATAAAAATGTACTAAATGTGCGAAAGTTGGTAATGGAAGAAAACAAATAGTGCTAAAATCTTGAAATTCGTATGGCGATATATGATGGTGTGTCAAGTTGTTTTAAGGAGGTGTTTCTAAACGTGTACAAGAAATTAAAAATTTTACTAAATTAAGTACATTTAATGTTTGTGTTCAATGCTGAGATACTACTCTTTCTAACTCCCTTGAAATTTCCTGTTTCCGATGTTCCAGTGAGGAATTATTATGCCCACCATCAAAAATAAGGACATTTCTTTAATCACCAAAAATCAAAATCTTGAAAATTTCAAATCGAGAATGGGGGAGGTTCCCTTAAACTACCAAAGTACATGGCTATGTGTACATTAATAGAGCCAGGAGCAATAACATATTCTAGATATAGTGGAGTTCGATTTATATAACCTCCAACATTTTAAATTTGTCATTCCGTTCTATCATGGAAATGTTTACAGGAGGCCCATAAAGTATACATATAAATATTCTTCTATGTCCTTGTAGCTATATTTTTCTGAAGATCTTGGTCGCAATTTCCCACAAAAGTGAGTGTCATATGACAATGCGAAATCTTGGAGGATGATAAACATATTTGCAGAACATTTTGAAAATAAGTTCATAATTTGAAATAGCTTCCCATTTTTTCGATAATTTTTTAAGTTTAGTTTTCCATCCCGAGTGTTATTTACAACAATATATTTTCAGACCATTAAGAACCTGCTAGCACACAATACAATAAAGTTCGAGCCGAAAATGCTCTAATTTTGCATTTCGGGATTTTAAAGGCTTGCATACATCTACGTAAAAAATTATTATTATAGTTCCAAGTTTTGACATAGCCCCCATATGAAGGTACCGCCCAAATTTGATATTTGTAGGCTTTATATTACATATTCCAATCGAAAAAGCTTTAATTGGGCATACCGGGACCTTAGAGGCTGACATAAATCTATGCAGAAAATTATCAATACCGGTCCTGTTTTTGGCAATTTTTCGGTATTTATATTATTTTAGTCGCATTTCCAACAGAAAACCCCCTCTATTCGGCATTTTGGGTACATCTATGCAAAAACATTTCTTTATAATTCCAAGTTCTGACAGAACCTCCATATAAAGTTCCCATCCCATTATGAAAATTAAGGCCGAAAGCTATAATTTGGCTTTGCAGAAAATTATCAAAAATTTCCAAATGAAAAATCTGTAATTTGACGTTCCAGGTTGTTACTTAAGTAAATACTTATGTCCTGCCTAATATTTGCTATTTTAAGTTCCTAGCCTATGTTTCCAACCGTGGTATCTGTAATTTAATATTTAATTGTCTAAGGGTACAAATAACCTACTAGCAGACAATTTGCATGTACCGATCCGGCATTTGTTCATTATATGCTCAGTCTAATGACTTATGAGGACATATACACTTTGCAACTGCAATAATGTCCCTAAACGAAATATTGGTATTATACCCCATGATTGTTTGCAGCAAATCCGTTTCAGACAACTTAGAGTTGATTTATAAATGTCCGTCCGTCCGTCCGTCCGTCTGGCTGGTGCGCATGATAACTCTCTAAGGAAGTAACCGATTATTTCTAAACTTTGCATATCGTAATATTTCTTCCAAACTTAAATCATGTTCAAAGTTGGAACGAATCGATCCATTCCTTCAGAAAATTGTAAAAATTGCATCTGGATTAAACGAAACTTAGCGCAACAAACACTTTAACCAAACATGTCTAATGTTGGGACTTATCGACCCACTCCTTCTAGTAGCTCTCCAAGAAAGGGCCAAAATGTTGAAAATTTGTAATTTTTTTATGAAGAGAACGGAATATCCTAATATCGTCTAAACTTTACACATTGTAATATTTTTACATAGCCTAGATCGAATCCGAAGATGGACATCATCTGCTCTACAAAGGGTCAACATTTTGAAAACGTTTTATGCAATAACAATAGTATGAAATGTCCGATATCATACAAAATGTACACATCGTAATATTTCTTTCATACATAAAGCAAGTCTGAAGATCGGACGCGTCTGAAGGATGGTACCTGAAGGATGGAAACTTCAGGTACCACACAAAAATGTTGATGAAAATTAATTTACCATGCGTACGGACGATTTGAATAATAACTTTGCATAACTAATATTTTAACTATGCCTATATAATGTTGGAAGATGAGATGGTAAACTCCTACTATCACCTCCCCCACAAAGTGTCAAAATTTTGTACAGCACAAATGAAGCGAACGGAATATCCAATTACATCGAAATTTTACACATCGTGATATGGTTACCTTACATAGATCAAGTCCCCCACAAAGGGCCAACGTTTTAAACCGACGTGATTCAATTTTGTCAAACCTACAATAAATCCGAAAATGCGGTCTATACGCAACACATCGGCTATGAAAGTAAGAAATAAAAATTGAGAAAAAGTCGAGATACCTGGGGAAGTTGATCAACAGAACGCATTTTCGGTATGGATCAATATTTTCATTATTACGGTTTTAAACACTTTGGCGCGTTACTTGAAGGAATGGACCGATAGGCTGCATCTTTTGATATGGGTCAAATCGGATGCACAATATGTTTCGTATTAGACTTACAAATGTTTAAAAATGTTGACTCTTTATGGAGGAGACACTACGAGGGCAGTTCGGAAAGTTCTTAGCCTAGCACAGAAAGCGCGGTATAGACAGAAAAAAGAAAACACATGTTAAATTTTGTTTCGATCTGACAACTCCTTCATATAGAAAAAGATGTTCAAAAAAGACGCATCCGCAATATTTTACAATAGAAAAATTAGAAATGTGTGCTTTTATTGTAAAAAAATGCGGAAGTGTCTTTTTTAACATGTTTTCATAACAGAAATGAAAGTTTCCAAAACACTTATTTTTTCAGTCTACACCGTCCTTTTGTGCTAGGCTAAGAACTTTCCGAACTGCTCTCGTACAGGGAGTGGGCCATTAGATCCTCTTTTCAGATTCAAAATAAGTTCAACAAAGATTTTACAATGTACGAAAGTTTTACCAAATCGGATACTCCGTTCGAATTTAAAGATATTTATTTACAAATGTGGATCCTTTGTAGGGGATGCCCCTGAAGGAGGTGACCAATATTTTCCACCTTCGAACTCGATATAGTTTTAGTAAAAATATTAGGTTATGCAAAAGTTTTGACCCAAACGGATTATACTTTCGCTGGTTATTAAACATTTATTTTTCAGCAAAATTTTGGCCACTTGTAGGGGAAGTACTAGAAAGAGTTGTCTGATATTCTACATCTTCGAACATGATTTTGGTTTGGAATAAATTGGATTAAAACTGCTACTCTTTTCAAGAGTTATCGTGCGCACTAACCAGAATGACAAGTATTTATAAGCAGGACGGACACTTAAGGGAACCCCCCCCCATTCTCGATTTTTTATTTTTAAGATTTTAAATGGGCTGGTAAATGAATACCAAAGTTTGTTAAGGTTTGTAAGTTGGAAGATTTAAAAAGAAAAAAAAAAATACATCAACTTTTTGTTGTTGTTTTTTGTGATCAAAGAAAAGTCCTTATTTTTGATGGCGGGCGGGAACATCAAAATCCGAAAATTCCAACGGTGTTAGAAAGAGTACATGTCTGGCTCTCGTATGAACTAGGATTTTTGAATTCGCAAAACAATTTACAAAATGGCGGAACTTTAACATTTTTTTTTTTTTTTTTTTTGGAAAATAGCCTTTTTTTGACCACAAACTAAGTTAACAAATAAGAAAGATCTTCTCCGAATTATAGAGATTTTAATGCATTAAGAATATTCTTGAAGAATCTTCAGTTCATTGAGCAACACTATGTTTTTTCATCTACTAGCATAAATTTGTTACTATTGAACTCTTTGCTCCTTGGATCCTTCACAATTTGACAATCTTAAAAAATGGCCTATGTCGATTAGCGGAATGAAATGTTGGGACAAATCTGACAATGTTGTTAAAGACGTTTTTATGAAAGTTCTTAATAGAAAAAAAAACGTTGTTCTTAAAAGAAAAACTTCGAAGAAAATTATCGCCTTTTTTCCTGGGCAAACCTAATCATATGATGAATGTCTCGTTTAGGCAACATAGTGTTTAATCGTGAGTAGTTTATCACAATATGTTAGGTCACACCTGACACAATGACTTTTCATTATTTACGTACATCCAGAAAAATGTATCGTAGTTCTGGTATTTTTGTTTTGTTTTTGGATTCCATAGAAAATTCACTACAAACTACAATTTAAATTGTAATCATGTTTTTGACGTAATTTTTTTTTTTTTTTTTTTTTTTTTTGCTGTGGGCTCACTCTTTGTATATGGAATTTGTAATTGTTTACATGTTCTCGTAAACGATATGTAAATTTTTTCATTAGTTCAAGGCAATCCTATTCTAAATGAAAATCAATTGCAGATTTTACAAACAAAGTTTTCAATAATGTGTCGTTTTGGAATGTGTTCCTAGTATTTTACATCGTCTGCGACGTAGTAAATTTAATCCAATGCATATCGTATACCTTAAACTACTTGACAAATAAATTTCATACATACCGTATCGAAAAGGTCCAAATACTTTGTTAAATAATAGCCATAGGTTACATAAAGGCAGCGCATCATCCACGGCTCGGTATTTGTTGGATCTGGTGGTTGGCAGCGAAAGCTAAAGTTTTTATGACCATATGAATTTGGAATGGCCTGTCCACGTGCATTGACCATGCAAAAAACACACACAAAATAAAATGAAACAGAGGAAAAAATGTAAATCCATTAGACAAATTAGATTGTTTTGGCAAATATGAAGAACACAAAAAGTAACAATAAAAAGAAACGAGTTAACAATGACACAGCATGTCCGAATAGACAACGCTGACGCATTTAATTCAATACTTACGATAATAAATAAAATCAAGTTGGCTATAACTTGTATGCCATTGTAGATACGCATTATATTTTTCAATTCGAATGGTTGGCGTTTTTCCATCCATTTCGGGCCATATTTTAGCACAAACAATAAATACAAGGCTATAATGGAGAGCGGGGCCAATGGTGAATAGATTAAAGGCAGGTCTTTAACACGTGGATCTGTAATATAAAAATAAAACGAAGTAAATATAAAAATCATCATAAGTCAATCATCATAAGCCCGCTGATGTGTCATTTAACCTACCCGCATGATCGGCATAAAGTTTGGCCAATAAACCATATAAATATTTTATAACATAAAACATTCTAAATGCTGCAATTTATATATTTTTTACAAAAATTTGGAACACGTGCTTACACGTTTACACCTCTGTAAAATTTACACACGAAAAATGTAAATAAATAAATTTAATATAAATATTATTATTATTATTTTTATTATGATTATACAATACACAAAATGTGCCAAACGCACAAGTCACAAACGTTGACAATTCCACTTGCACTTCGTATGAATGATATCCACCGAATGGCATCGAGAAATTTTGTAAAAATTTTTTTAGAAACATATACTATAGAAAGCTTTCCCCCGAATTCCAAGAAATTGAATATTCATTTTTTTCAGAATTTAAGTCGTTTGCCCATGGAAGAAACCACTCAATTGCAAAGAAAAGAGAATTTCGATTCGTACATATAATTTGTTGTCATCGTATGCTAAATAGGATAAAAGTAAAATTTAATTCAATTTATATACAACGGAAATAAAATATGTTAATTTTGTTTCGAATGAGAATACATATACGAAATTTATATTTTTTTGATAGTGCAACGATCTGAAAACGAAAGTTCACAAACATTTCCAAAATTGACTAGGGACAAATAATCACTACTTTACTAAAAATTCTAAATTTAACCTAGTCTAAATATATTCGGCTTGTCGTATAAGTGCTCAAAGTATGATACCCAATTTAATAGTTTCATGTATGCTGAATCATTACACCATTTCCTAATGTGTACATAAAAGTATAATTGTTAAAGTTAAAATCCCTTCTAAAGCTTTATAGCTTAGAGAGTTGTCCACACTTGTCATTTCGAAATTTGCTTTTTGGATCCTCGCTTATTTTACAAGTAGCATATGTGTTAAGTTATTTAGGTCGATCCTCTATGGACCAGGAATGCTATTTTGTGACCAAATATCATTTTCGGGTATAGGGGAAAAATGTATATGGGCAATATTGGCAATTTTTTAATATTCCATTTTCAAAAAATCGGTTTTTTTTGTTTTCGTGGTACATCAATGATTTTTGGTAAACATATAGAGGAAAATGTTCTGACGAAACCACTCGCGATCAAATTTTTGGTTGATGCGCGCAAAGGTTATCGAGGTTTTAATTTTCGGCATAAGAAAAAAATCTTAAAATTACGCAGATTATTATATTGACCAAGAACGTTGATATATGTGTTCCTCCGTAAAATAAGGATATGAATATATTATAATAATGACATACACACACACCTAAAAATTAATTTAAAAATATCTACATAATCTAAACCCCATGATGAATCAAATGATAACAAAATCACACAAGTCCGTGTAGCTGGTTGTAAATCAAAGGGACAACAAAACAAGATATTGAGGAAAAATATTTGTTTTTGGTTCGAAAAAATTACGTCATCATATTTATTTTTTAAAAAATTTCAGAAAAAAAATTGAGGTTATTCTGCTATTTTACCCGAATTTCGCCGAAAAATTGACATATATAAAAATAATAATCACTTTTTGTTTATAAGTATAAGCCTTGCGGATTATATCAGGACCCTTCCGATAAATCTTGGGGTTCTATAAAGAGGAATCAATCTTAAAATAAAATAATATTCTGAAATATACATTTTAAATTGCGCCTAAATCGCGTAATTCTCAAATTCATTTGATGCGCATGTGGTTTCCAGGAAGTACTGCAGTTTATCTTCCAATCCATATATATTTTGCGAAATTTCACTTGACGGCTAAGATATACTTCATGTTGCATTGAAGTACCCAAAAACTCGTAAAACGCGAATAATTTCCGAAAACTCCATATGCCATTAACGCGCATCCGATTTCGGTGTGCAGCCTAAAAAAACATCGATCTATACCGATTTCTATGAGGTCCATTAAGAACCATGGATGTGCCAGCTCATACTATTTTTAAGATAAATTGGGTACATCTCTCGTTCGGCTGAAGTTTTTAAAGTTCTCTTTTCGAAAACGATCAAAATCCGTATGAGGTCATTTATTGAAGCGGAAATGATCCACAGAAAACGCTAATAAATCCGCGATATTTTCAAAATTTTTTTTTTTTTGCCAAATTTCGTGTTTTTGGTAGTAGATAGATTTTCACGAAGAAGATTTTATATCATCCGAAACGTAAAAAAAACCTTATTGATCGCCGGTACTCATTTCATTCAGTTGACAGATCTAAAAATTGGACCCGAAAAATAGGTTTTTTTTTAGAAATTTGATCGCACAAAATTTTCACCTTTCGATGAGTATTACTCTGTGCTGTGCATACTACACACACAAAATATATAACAAATTACTCAGATTCGCGACTACAATAAGCTTATAATTGATTTTTTAGAAATTCCTGTTTGCGCACTAAAGCTAGAAGTAAAATTAAACAAGCACTCAAAATCGAGCTTCAAAATGTCAGCATCATTTATAGGTAGATACAGTTAAAATTTTGAAAAATTATACATAAGTGGCGTAGTCCCCATTTTGTTGGCTTCTAGTTTTACTTTGACACGAAGACTGTGAAATGAGTGGCTTAATCACAAATCGTTAAAGAACATAAAAACACTGGTACGCCTTTTTTACACATTTTTATACATTAAAATAAACACAGCTTCCACCAAAATAAAGTTTGGAGATCAATATCATGAACAGTTTGCAATGACAGATCAATAGACCTCGAATTTTTGCATATTTTTTATGCTTTATCCGATTGGACTCAAATTTTGTATTTAGGCGTTTCATGCTTTAATTGATCGATATTTGGGGTCATGTCAAAAATATGCAACAAATATGCAAAAAATATGCAAAATATATGTAAAAAATATGCAAAATATATGCAAAAAATATGCAAAATATGCAAAAAATATGCAAAAAATATGCAAAATATGCACGGTATGCTAGGTCGATATGCGATAAATATATGCAAAAAATATACAAAATATGCATTGTCGATATGCAAAATATGCAAAATATGCAAAAATATGCAAAATATATGCAAAATATGCAAACATATGCAAAATATGCAAAATATGCAAAAATATGCAAAATATGCAAAAATAAGCAAAATATGCAAAATATGCAAAATATGCAAACATATGCAAAATATGCAAAAATATGCAAAATATATGCAAAATATGCAAAACATATGCAAAATATTCAAAAATATGCAAAATATGCAAAAATATGCAAAAATATGCAAAAATGCATGCAAAATATGCAAAATATATGCAAACATATGCAAAATATGCAAAAATATGCAAACATATGCAAAATATGCAAACATATGCAAAATATATGCAAACATATGCAAAATATGCAAAAATATGCAAAATATATGCAAAATATGCAAAATATGCAAAAATATGCAAAATATATGCAAAATATGCAAAAATATGCAAAATATGCAAAAATATGCAAAATATGCAAAAATATGCAAAATATGCAAAAATATGCAAACATATGCAAAATATGCAAAAATATGCAAAATATGCAAAATATATGCAAAATATGCAAACATATGCAAAATATGCAAAATCCGAGGTCTACAGATCAATTAACCCAAAACTATTCACTTTTTGCATAATTCCCTCCTCTTCATAAACCTCCTCTTCAGCTATGTTAAAAAATTGGCAATATTGCCCATATATTTCAAATATGGGGACTTTAACCATTCTCCAGAAAAATTGTTTATCTTTGTTTAAAAATAAATTTCAAGTCAAAATTTCATATTTTTGTGAATAGAACGAGTAAAGTGATTGAGTGTCTGACTTAAACATTCATCAACGACCAGACGAAATGTGTGAAGCTAGAATCTTGAAATTTTGGGTAAGGATCACTCTTATTCTCATGGTTTCAGATAAGGCTGGGCTTTTCAAAATTCCTACTAGAACGACACGAAAAGGGCTAAAAATTACTAAATATGATACGATTTGTTGTATAAATATGAAACCAACCAGTGGATCTAGAACTGTACTAAGTACTAAAATGTACTAAATTTTGTACATTTTCGTAGCATAAACTTGAAATTTGGAGTGCGAGTCAAGGTTGAGAAGTAGGTTCGATATAATGAGATGGTTTTGGAAATATGTACTCATGTACACGAAATTTAGTGGAATTCTATAATTTGAAATTAACATTACCGTCATCGTGTGGGGTTGCAATATGTTGGTAGTTTTGGAAATTTTTTTACTTATGTGTGCCAAATTGCAATTCTTTGCCCACTTCCTACAAACTGCAGCAAAAGGAACAATTGGGTACCAAAAACCACCACCAAGAAACCCATGATACGATCAGGAGTGTCGTAATGCTACTGATGTAAAAAAAGCAGCATGTAGGGCAACCTTGCAGACAGTAGCAACAGAATTATCGGGAGAAAAGGGGAGAGGAGAAACGTGTTTTCAGAAAAAAGAAGAAAGAACAAGTAAAACGTGAGCGTGAGCAAATCGTACAGGAGTCAGAATGAAGTCCGGAAATTTTACCAACGAATAAAACACCAAACCGAAGGCTTTGGTGCAGACACATCCTCCTGTAGAGATGAAGAAGGAAACCTGGTGACTGATACAGACAGTGTGTTAAGGATCTGGAAGGAGCATTTTGAAAAGCTTCTAGTATCAAATAGTGACGATGAAGAAGATACCCCAGAACCAATAAGAGATGATGTATAGATGAGGTCATAAAAGCAATTAATCGGCTCAAGAACAACAAAGCAACCGATGGGTTACCAGTCGAACTATTCAAGACTGGTGGCCAGATGTTGGTCAGGAGCATGCACCAGCTGATTAGCACAATTTGGCTAGATGAATGCAGCACCCTGTGTCCCGTGCACAAAAAAGGCGGGATAAGTTTAAGTGGCACAAGGTCAGCAGTTAAAGTAGGAAGGAGCCCTTCAATACCGAAGGAGGATTCAGACAAGGTGACAGTTTGTCGTGTGATCTTTTTAATATCCTGCTGGAAATGACACTCTGTACAACAAACAACACATGTTACTCGCCTACGCCGATGACATCGATATAATGGGTCGAACATTGCGAGCGGTAACA